AAACAAAAAAGGAAAAAAACCCCCCCCGGGGGGATAGCCACACTGCAATCCCTTCTCCTCTCAGGATCCTGGGCACGTGCACACACACATGCCCGGTGTGAGTTTAATCTACTGGGTCCAGGACTTGAACCACGGTCGACTACATGGAAATCCAGTGACATAGCCATTACTCTAACTGCTGGTCCCTTGTACTGCATTATTTTATTTTCTATTTTTCTATTATATATTATTTTTTGTTGTTTTTTAATCTTAGTTCCACCTTTGAGAAAGGGTAGTAATTATTAGGAATATTCTTATTATTTGTTAAGAGGGTTTTGCTATAGGGCTTGTGCACTCGCCAGAAAGACAGACAGAGACAGAGAGACAGAAAGCGAGAAATCACCCCAAAGTGGGGATGGCCACACTGCAATCCCTTCTCCTCCATTCTCCCCTCAGGACCTTGGGTACATATACACGCACACCCAGTGTGAGTTTAAGCCTCCGGGTCCGGGTCTCAAACTGCAGTCAACTACGTGGGAGTCCAGCGACATGGCCATTACGCCAACTGCTGGTCCCTTACAGATATGCTCATTGCCAGAGAAGTTGTGTCCAAGCAGCTAAAATGCAGTGGGTTGGAGCTGCGTCCTTACTAACATGGAGCTTGGCTGCTTTTCGTAGGGATGAAGTCAACAAAGCATATCGGAAACTCGCCGTGCTTCTTCACCCTGACAAGTGTGTGGCACCGGGGAGCGAAGATGCCTTCAAAGCCGTTGTGAATGCCCGGACAGCCCTCCTGAAAAACATCAAATAGCGAGGAGAGACAGGCCAGCGTGGGACCCAAGTGCAAACAGACTTTCCCTCGAGGGGATCTAGCCACCATGGCTTTTCCCTTCACAAACTCTCACTGCTCTCGTCACTCTTATCTTGTCACGTATAAATCAGTAATCCAGGGGCCTGTTACCACCTCGCAGACATATTACAGAACGCCCGCATTTGTGTGAAGGGACAAGACCCAAGCATCGCTTGTACTGGACTCCACGTCATATTCTAGATAGTCTGAACGCTTCCCATTCATTCATAAGCCCGTTCGTTAACAGTAGTTAACGACCTCTCCATTGGCAGACTCCACCAGGCTTCTGGAGAGGGAGGGCAGGAGGGTCCTTTTACTTTCTCGTTTTTTAAAAGTTCATCACAGAAACAACAAAACCAGAAGCGGACAACATGCGAAAACCTGAAAGTCTGGCATGCCCCGAGAAGCAAGTCACTGCTTTGTGACGAGGGCCTAAGGTCCAGCTCTAAGTGAGCCTCTGGGCGGCCCTTCGGAGGTGGTGACATGAGGCCACAGGAAGCCCCTTTCTGACGTTCACTCTGCTCCTCCTCTCCAGCCACCGGGGGAGAACCAAGCCAGTCCTAAGGAAAAGGCGGTGGCAGCGGCAGGTCTGGTCCCCCAGCTGCTGCTCACCTTGGCCCAGACCTGAGACCTTTCCCTTGCCGTAGAAGCGGTTGCCCATAGTGTAGAGAGCCGTGCACCTGGGTGCGAGGAGTCAGACCCCGAGACAGAGGACAACCTGCAGGTCACACCTGGAGATTGCAACACACCCCAGAGAAGGAGGTGTGCTGGACTGTTCTTACTCGGCTGCAGCCAGCAGGTGGGAAAAGCCGAGTGCTCCTCAGTGAGCCGGGCCTCTTCCTCGCTTCCTCCGCAGTGTCATTCCCTCTCTCTTTTTCCCCTCTTGTTTTGTTTTGTGCCCTGCATCTGCCAACACTTGTCTCTTCAGTCTCTGACTTCCAGCCATTGCCTCCTCCATCTTTTCTTCCAGCCTTGACCTGGGCCTGCTCTGCCAGAGACAAGTTTGGACCCATTTGGGGGTAGGGGTGGGGTGGCATGTAATCCTAAGGCCTTTGCAGGGAGGACTCTGTAATTTCCGGTTGGGCTCCAGGGTTCTAAAGAGCAGTATTTTTAAACTTCAGGTTGCCATTGTATCTTCCTTGGAGTAGAAGAGATGGATGACGATGGCTCTTAGGCCTGGCTAGGTTCTCAGGGCGCTTCACACATTCTATCCTCGCTCTCATGATGTTACCCCTATTTTTAGCTGCAACTACCCCACACTTAGTGGAGCTTTAAAATCTATCAGATGTTACTGTCCTGTGGATTTTCAATAGCTATTGCACATCAATTGCCAAATAGCATCCACCGTCCCACCTAGGAAGAACCACTTTCTTATCGTGCAGGGCCCAGAAGTCTTCAGATTTTCCTCCTTTCCCAAAGCAGTGTCACTTTACATGATGCTATCAGGCTGCACTGAGCTCGTTGTCCAGGAACCAGAGTGGTGGTGTGAACGTGTTTTTTATAATTTTTTTTAAATTTATTATTATTATTATTATTATTATTTAATTTAGCCAGAAAAAAAGACAGAGAGAGAGGGAACGTGAGAAAGCAAGCTGCCAGGTCCAGGTCTCGAACTGTGGTCAGCTCTGCAGGAATTCAGCACTGTAATCACCCTGCCACCTGCCAACCAGAGCAAACTCCTGTTTTCTTGCAATAGGAGTTTTTACCTTAATATTAAAAATACTTTTGTTTTTGGTTATTTTTTAAGAAATTAAGATCTGATAAATGATTTCTTGTGAGATTTTCTTCTGACCTTTTAACTAGATTGTGAGACTGCAGAACTAACCGAAAATTCTTTGGGACCTAAATTTTGTTAAGGTCTTCATGAGCCCTCGAGTACTGAAAAATAGATTTGCTCTTGCAACAGAATGTAGGTGTCATATGAATGGGGATTGTGCTTGTTAGTGTCAGCCCAAATTGATGTGACAGCTCCCTGAGGGTGTGGCCTTGTATCAACGCTGGTACCAGTTTTCATCACTGTTATAAACTATTAGATCTGTCACCTCATTCAGCTACAGTGTGCAGTTAGAGCAGAGAGTGCTTTGGTACTTCCATTCATATACTGTGATTTGTTGACATTTAATCTGAGCTTGATTCTTAGATCTTGGGACTTGGTTTCCAGACTTTTATTATTAACGTTAAGGCTGGCCCCATACTAGTCTATTTATGTAAAGGAAATAAAATAAGAACGTTAAGCTCCAGGGTCCTAGAATTTTTCTGATTTTCATAATCCTTCAGAATATTAAGAAATAATAAAGCATGATTTGCAAGGAAAAGGTTTTTTGGCCCTAACTTCATGCAGAACTTTATACCTCTATGCATTATTTTAAATTCTTGGTACAAATGTATGCTTTGTAGTTCAACCTTATTAAATATTCTTCAGCCAATTAGGATTTCAAAATTCATCAGTGAGAGTATAACTAGCAGAATAACTTTAGTGGCTTTTAAAAAAAAAACCTGTTATAATCTCATTTCTCAAGAAAGAATGAAAAGTTTGAACAGCCGTCATAAAGGAAAGCCATGTCTTCCACAGCTGAGTCACCAAGAAGTAACACTTTTTTAAAATCATTAGAAATCCCTGAGGCATTTCACAGTAATTACCCAACCTACCTAAGCACTTTAAAATACAGCCTGCTGTTCCTCTGTTCTGCTTCTGCACCTCCTTTCGAATTGATACTCCCAAGTGTCAGTATTTCTTTTATTTCAACATTCCCTCTCTCTTTCTCTCTCTTTTCCTTCCTATAATGTCTTTGATTTTATTAGCCTGTTAATTTAAAAATCCACATTGGGGGATCATTGTGTTGCTACTCAAGGCAAGTGGCTTCACTCTGTAGCAGGCACACCTTCCTTTAAACTCATGTTTGCCTTAGAAAACATACTCTAGGAGTGAGTGCGGTTTTATGCATTGGATTTTCAACTGGTAAATATTTCTTTAAACCTGTAATTTCTTGTTGTACCTGACCCGTTCACTCCTAATTCAATGAGCCAGAGATAAGGCAACTACATTTTTGAAAGATAGCAGCCAGAGTTAGAAGCAGCCCCTGCAAGTTCTGAATCAGGAGAGAAGTAGATGTTCCTTCTAAAACAATGACAGAATCACAAAGGGGGGAAAGGGGAGTGTTTCTGTCTGAAGTTGGACAAGGTGGAGCTGTTAGGCACACACTGCCCCTGACAGTGACAGTACCCGGCCTACGCATGTTTGTTGTAGGCCTGTAGGTGGGGTAATGTCACATCCTTCACTGTGCCCCACCCCTGCAGTTCATTGTCAGTCTGCCAATGTTTTTGCAATACTTAAAAATGAATTGAGCTGCAAAATGGAGCTAAACTTCCACTGCAAGTTTTGCAAAGTGAAGAGAGGTTCGTGGTCTTCGTAATTGGTGTTTAGCACAATTACGAGACACAGTCAATACTGTTTGTACATTGGTTTTTCCATTAGGCATTTGTAGAGAAGACAGAATTTCTACTTGTGGATAAGTGAGATTGTGTCTAACAAGCAGTGCAATTTTAAACTGTGCAATCAAGCCCCGTTGGGGGGATTCTGTTTGGTGGAAAGTTGGACAGTCTGGGTTACTGTCCTTCATCAACTGCTCCCTGGGCATTCTTACCCTTGGACTGTGAGTGCAGAGTCTATAAATAAGCCCTTCACTCTTATAAGGTAATTTACATATTTGCTTTCTGTTGAAATAACTGCAAATGTTTAATTAACCAGTTGTTTATGTCTTGTATACAGAGTGCCATATGTATTTAAGTTGTGTATTTTTATAAAGTAAAGCCAAATGTCAGACCTGGGTCTGTGGGCTGCATTTATTTCTAGAGACACTGGTCTTTAATGTAAAATATACTAGGCCAGAAGCCAATCTAGTTCCTCCCCAATTGTGGCCATTAATAAGATATCTTGCTTTAGTTTCCAGTCAATGAAATGCAAGAAATTGTATTCATTGGTCCATCAGGCATTTTTTTTTAATTTATTTAACTTTATTTATTATTATCATCATTATTGTTTTCCAGTTTGATCAGAGAGAGACAGAGAGAGAGGAAGTGAGAAAGCAAGCCACCAGGTCTGAGACCTAAACTGTGGTTGGCCATGTGGGAGTCCAGCGCCCTTAACCACCATGCCACTTGCCAGCCCCAATCAGGCATTATTTTTTAACATTATTAAGTTGTGATAAAAGTGTTTTGATCCCTTCCCTTAAATAATCACAAACTGATACTATGTTTGCCTTTTGAACAAGGTAAAAATGTCGTTAACTCATTTTACTTATTTATTTATTTATTTATTTTTGAGAAGTTTTTGCTATAGGGTGCATGCGCTCACCAGACAGACAGAGAGAGACATAGAGATAGAAAGTGAGAAATCACCCCCCAGGAGGGATGGTCATGCTGCAATCTCTTGTCACAGGTAAGACCGAAGAAGCTATACAGGGGCTGTTTCCCTCCCCACCCCAATGCCCAGTAGGCTTTTTGTGTTAAAATCCCTAGCACTAAACAAAGGAAAGGTGGCCTATGTTCAGCAAACTGTGAGGCATGGTTGTCGCCAGGGAGTGCGGTTTAGGGGACAGGGCCAGGATGCCTTCACATTTTGCCTTATTTCTGTATGTAATGTTTGAGTTTTCCCAAAGACTGTCAACTTCTGGGTAGTCAGGAAGGTCATGATACATTTTTGCGCAGAAAAATATGTCATGACTTTCCCAATGACCTCATATGTTTGATCATCTGGAAAGCTATTAATATATGAAACCAGAAACTGAACATAGCTCCAGTTAAAAAAAAAAGGACTCTAAACCATTTGTGGGGACCTCTGTAAGGTGGCTCTAGGCTGTAATGAAATCTCGCTTCTTTACATTAGTAGAAATGTCAGACTAAAGGGGAAAAAAGCTTCTAGTCACTTAGAAGTTTTTATGAAAGCTGACAGCAATCTGTGCTCACAGGGTGGAATTTCAAGTGCATTTCATGTTCCACATCCATAAACTCACTCATGTAACACAGAAACCACTGAGTGAAATGAGATTTGAGAGAGGCATAGCTCTCCTGTTAATTAATAGTGTAGCCCTGGCAAGTAGATTGACCTGCGGTTACATTCCTCTGTTATCAACAAGGCTATTTAGTTAGGTAATGCTGAAGAGCCTTTCTAAAGACCCTTGCTTTATGAAACTTACAAAGCCAGTGAAAACCAGGTTCCCTAGCCTCTTGCATATGGTGTTACATCAACAACTACTCCTCAGTAGACAAGAAAAAGAGAAAAAATTAATTTTAAAAAAATCAGTTAATTAGGCTTTTCCTAAGACTTGGGATAATAGGTATTGTTGAGTCTTTTATTGTTGATATTATTAAAGAAACACTTTAAATTCTTATTACATGAAATTATAATTATGACATTTCATTTTAAGAAAATAAGTGAAATCACAGGTTTGAACTTTTGGTAGCAAGTCCACAAGACTCAGATATTCAAAGACACTTTATTCCTGGTAAAAGTTACATTGGCTCCGAAGCTCACATTTTTACCAAGGTCAGCAAAATTTAAAATTTGCCTCTGAAGGTAAGTCAATCATTTCTAGTTTTTTTTTTTTTCCTTTGGAGAGGTTTTTGCTATAGGGCACGTGCGCTCGCCAGACAGACAGACAGAGACATAGAGACAGAAAGCGAGAAATCACCCCCCAGGGGGGATGGTCATGCCGCAATCCCTTCTCCTCTGTTCTCCTCTTGGGATCTTGAGCACACACGCACACATGCCCGGTGTGAGTTTTAAGCCACTGGGTCCGGGACGCGAACCACGATTGACTACGTGGGAGTCCACAACATAGCCATTATGCTAACTGCTGGTCCCCAACCATTTCTAGTTTTAAATATGATCAACTGAAGATTAAAATTTATGCCAGCCAGTGGTGCGGTGGTTAAGGTGGCTGGACCCACATGGCCAATTGCATGGTTCAAGTCCCAGAACCAGAGGCTTAAAAAATACACAAGCGTGAAGCCAGCAGGTGTCATGGTGGTTAAGGTGCTAGACTCTCACATGGTGGACCACAGTTTGAATCTCAGACCTGGTGGCTTAATTTCTCACTGCCCCCCTCTCATGAGCACACATCCCTATAGCAAATTTAAATAATAATAATAAACAAAAATAAATAATTCTAAAAGAAAAATCACATACAAGCACATGTGCATGTGTGCCTAAAATACCTAAGGGAAGGAGAGATGGAGAAGAGATTACACCGTGACCACTCCCAATTGGGGAGCAAGGGTTGATTTCCCTCTCTTTCTCCCTCTCTTCCTGCCTAACACATGCACCCTCTGGAAAAATTAGGAATTAAAATAGCAAATGCAAGATTATCTTCTCTTTATATGTCTCCTTTCCTTTTCTTCAGGGGAGACCTAGAGTCTGGTGCTGAAGTGTGAAGTAGATTATAAACCCCTCAACCACAAAATTCCCAAATGAATAAAAGCGAAGTCATAGAATACAATTGATAAAAAGGGACCTAGCCAGCAGTATAGAAATAGGACGTGTGAGTGCCTTTACCACCCAAATACATTGCTTATGAGCCAGTCACATCTAGGTATAATTTTCTCAGTGAAATTTCTCTAAATATTTCCATGGCTTACAAAATCTGAGGAAAATGGCAAGAGTTGGCTTTGCCAAGAACCAGACCTAACCTTTGAGGGGGACCAGAGCAAATTCCACTGATGGTGTGTTCAGGTATTTCTGCCTCATCCTAGCTGGAAGAGTCCTATGTCCAGGTGTCTATCACTCCTGTACTTGACACAGTGTAAACCATGAATGATTGAAGTCAACCATGGTACCAGTTCTATTGCCAGTGATTAGTTTGGAAGCGCTTTATTGGCCTAGACGATTTGGGTATTCTCAGGAGCTTCTGGAAAGGCTTCTGCACTCCTGAAAGAAAGGCAGGAAGGCATAGGAAGAAACAGTTCTACTTTTCCTCTTAAGAATGCCATGTCTGTCTATGTTGCTGGAGTTACGGCAGCCATCTTGTTACCATGAGGGGAGTGAGTCTGTGATGGCAAAGTGTTGCCCTGAGGGGAGGGGGGGAAATGGAATGTGCGTGAACCTTAAAGATGTTGTTGAGCCACTGAAATAACTAACCTTAGACCTGTCTTATCCAAAGATTGCTTGTTAACGAGGTAACACATCTTCTCTAACATTTAAGTCATTTAAGTTAGGTTTGGGTGGGGCCAGCAGGGCTGGCATGGTAATTAAGGTGTGGGACTCCCACATGGCTGACCATGGTTCGAGTCCTGGTCCTGGTGACTTGCTTTCTCACTCTCTCTGGTGAGCACACACATGTCCTATAGCAAATTCAAAAACAAGAATGATAAATAAAATTAAATAATTTGTTAAATAAATAAATAAATTAGGTCTGGGAAAACTTAAGATAAGTCATCCTACCAACTAAAACTGACTTGCCTAAAACATTTCTGGTACCAACCCAGGACAGACGCCTGAAAACCCCACCATCTGCAATTTATTAAGGAAAAGTTCTGTGTGGTAAATGACAAGTTTCCCTTGAGAGGGCTAAATAACCAAACTGTTAACATCTCAGAATTTATATATTTATTCTTTCTTCCATCAAGGATCAGCTAAGTGCTTTCTATGCCAGTTGCTCTGCTATATGGTGGGATAAAAAATCATGAGAGAATATCAACTTATAGCCAATATTTAAATCCTCCTTTATATGGTTCTCTCCAAAGATGGTTCGAGTCCTGGTCCTGGTGACTTGCTTTCTCACTCTCTCTGGTGAGCACACACATGTCCTATAGCAAATTCAAAAACAAGAATGATAAATAAAATTAAATAATTTGTTAAATAAATAAATAAATTAGGTCTGGGAAAACTTAAGATAAGTCATCCTACCAACTAAAACTGACTTGCCTAAAACATTTCTGGTACCAACCCAGGACAGACGCCTGAAAACCCCACCATCTGCAATTTATTAAGGAAAAGTTCTGTGTGGTAAATGACAAGTTTCCCTTGAGAGGGCTAAATAACCAAACTGTTAACATCTCAGAATTTATATATTTATTCTTTCTTCCATCAAGGATCAGCTAAGTGCTTTCTATGCCAGTTGCTCTGCTATATGGTGGGATAAAAAATCATGAGAGAATATCAACTTATAGCCAATATTTAAATCCTCCTTTATATGGTTCTCTCCAAAGTTATTTAAATGTAATTATTTTTAGTCAAAAGGCCTGTGTGAACTTAGACTTAAAAAAAATATTCCCACTTACAGCTACATTAATGCAAAATTGTGCACAAGAGAAAGGGCCTCCAGTTCCATCCACGTTAATGTGCGTGACTTCTGAGGAGGCGTCTATCGAGAAAAGCAGGGAAATACGGACCCCTGAAAACCTGCCCCATCCCATGAAGGTGATGCAGAGGGAGCTTCAGGCCAGAGCTGAGCTGGCGAGGGAGAAGGGGGACATACTTCCTGCAGACACGTGCACCCGTATCTCCTGCTCCTGCCATAAAGTCAGACAGCATGAGAGAGAGAGGGAGGAGGGGGGGCACGAAGCCAGCAGAAAGACTGACTCAACACCAGCGGTTCCTAAAATAGCGGAGCAGGGCTAGAAGCTTTCCTGTCCAGATTTCAAACTGGCAGTAGTGGGGCTGGGGGAGGGGAGAGGGCTGTTAATGAATGGAAGAGACAGAGTCAGCCTGAGCAGAGCCCAGCCTGGGTTCCAGGTCCTCGCTTGGCTGTGAGTGAAACCGTCACGTGCTTCCCATTTGGCAGAGCCTGGCTGCATCTCCAGCCAGCGGCGGATCTCAGAGCAGAG